TCGGGGTAGCTTAGATATTTTAACAATATTTACTCTTCCAATGCATGAGTATGGAATGTTTTTCCATCTCTGTGTAATCTTCAATTTCTTTCATCTTTGTTTTATAGTTTTCAGAACTCAGATCTTTTACGTTTTTGGTTAGGTATAGTTGCAAATGGGATTGATTCCTTGATTTTTCCTTCTGCTGCTTCATTATTGGTGTCTAGAAATGCAACACATTTCTGTATGTTGATTTTGTATCCTGCAATTTTACTGAATTTGTGTATCAGTTCTAGCAATTTCTTGGTGGGGTCTTTTGGATTTTCTGTATAGAGTATCATGTCATCTGGAAATACTGAAAGTTTGACTTCTTGGGTGATTTGGAACCCTTTTACTTCTTTGTGTTGTCTGATTGCTGAGGCTAGGATTTCTAATACTATGTTAAATAACAATGGTGAGAGTGGACATCTCTGTCTTGCTCCTGACCAAAGAGGAAAAGCTCAGTTTTACCCCATTAAGGATGATATTAACTGTTTTTTGTATATGGTCTTTATTATGTTGAGGTATATCCCCTCTAACCTTACTTTATTGAGGGTTTTTTTCTTTTTATCATGAATGGATATTGTACTTTATAAAATGCTTTTTCTGCATCTATTGATGATCACGTAACACGCTTGCAAATAGGAATAAATCTCACCTGATCATGATGAATGATTCTTTTAATGTACTGTTGGATTTGATTTGCTAGTATTTTATTGAGAATTTTGCATCATTGTCCATCAGGGATCCTGGCCTGTAGTTCTCTTTTTTAGTTAAGTCTTTCTCTGGTTTTGGTCTCAGGGTAATGCTGGCCTCATAAAATTAATTTGTAAGTTTTCCTTTCATTTCCATTTTTTGGAATAGTTTGAGAAGAATAGGTATTAACTGTTCTTTAAATGTTTGGTAGAATTCTGTCTGTGAAGCCATCTGGCCCTGGACTTTTATTTGTTGGGAGATTTTTGATTACTGATTGGGTTTCTTTGCTGGTCATCAGTCTGTTCAAGTTTTCTATTCTTCCTGGTTCTGTTTTAGTATTTTACATGTTTGTAGGAATTTATCCTTTTTTTTTTTTCCAGGTTGTCCAACTTGTTGGCATATCGTTTTTTAATATTCTCTTATAATTGTATTTCTGTGACATTAGTTGTGATTTTTCTCCTCTCATTTGTGATTTTACTTATTTGGTTCTTTTTTCTTTTTGATAAGTCAGGCTACAGGTTTATCAATTCTGTTAATTTATCAAAGAAACAGCGCCTGGTTTCATTGTTAGTTTCTATATAATTTATTTTTGGCTTTAAACTTTATTATTTCCCTTCTTCTGCTGGCTTTAGGCTTCGTTTTTCTTTTTCTAGCTCCTTTAGGTGTAAGTTTAGGTTGTTTATGTGAGATTTTCCTTGCTTCTTGAGGTAGACCTGCATTGCTGTATACTTTCCTCTTATGACCACCTTTGCTCCATCCCAAAGGCTTTGGGCTGTTGTGTTCTCATTTTCATTTGTTTCCATGTATTTTTTATTTCTTTTTTGATTTTCTGGTTGACCCATTCATTGTTTAGAAGAATGAATTAGTGGTCTTTTCAAAGTTTTTCTTGTGTTTGACCTCATAGCGTTTTGGTCAGAAAATATGTGTGTTATGATCTCAGTCTTTTTGTACTTGTTGACGCCTGATTTGTGACCAATTATATGATCTGTTCTGGAGAGTGTCCCATGTACATTTGAAAAGAATGTGTGTTTTGGGGCACAAGTGTGGTTCAGTTGGTTAAGCTTCTGACTCTTGATCTCAGCTCAGGTCTTGATTTCAGGGTCTTGAGTTGAAGCCCAGTGTTGGGCTCCATGCCGGGCATGGAGCTTACTTGAAGAGAAAAAAAAAAAAAAAAAAGAAAAGAATGTATATCTTGCTGCTTTTGGATGGAATGTTTTGAATATATCTGTGAAGTCCATCTGGTCCAGAGTATTATTCAACGTCATGTTTCCTTGTTGATTTTCTGCTTATGTGATTTATCTGTTGATGTAAGTTCGGTGTTAAAGTGCTCTACTATTAATTGTTTTATTATCAATGAGTTTCTTCATGTTTGTTATTGTTTTATTTATTTGGGTGGTTCCATGTTGGGCACATAAATATTTATAATTACTAAATCTTCTTGTTGAATAGTTCCCTTTCTTATGATATAGTGAAGTCTATTTGCATGATAGATGTTTCTTCATCCCCTCATTTTCAGTCTGCAGGTGTGTTTAGGTCTAAATTGAGTCTCTTGTGGGGCTCCTGGGTGGCTCAGTTGGTTAAGTGTTTTGCTTCAGCTTAGGTCATGATCTTACTGTTTGTGAGTTTGAGTCCTGCATCAAGCTCTATGCTGACAACTCAGAGCCTGGAGCCTGGTTTGGATTCTGCTTCCTCTCCCCTGCTCATTCTCTGTCTCCCTTTTTCTAAAAAAATAAATAAAGATTAAAAAATTAAAAAAAAATGAGTCTCTTGTGTACAGCATATAAGTGGGTCTTGTTTTCTTACCATTCAGACACCTGTGTCTTTTGATTGGAGCATTTAGTTCATTTACCTTTAGAATAATTATTAATAGGTATGTATTTAGTACCATTTTATTACTTGTTTTGTCTTTGTTTCTGGAGATTTTCTCTGTTCCTTTCTTTGTCACTTTTGGTTTTTCCATTCCACTTAGAGAATTCCCTTTAATATTTCTTGCAGAGCTGATATAGTGGTCAAAAACTCTTTATCTTTCCTATTCTGAATGACAGCCTTGCTGGGTAGAGTATTCTTGGCTGTGAATTTCTCTCATTCAGCATGTTGAGTATATCATGCCACTCCCTTCTGGCCTGCCAAGTTTCCGTTGAGAGATCTGTAGCTAGTCTTTTGGGTCTTTCCTTTATACCACATCTCCTTTATCCATCAGTTGATGGAAACTTGAGTTGTTTCCATAATTTAGCTATTGTATATATACTGCTGCTGTAAGCATCAGAGTACATGTATCCCTTTGATTTAGTACTTTCTTAATTCTTTGGGTTATAACCTAGTAGTGCAATTGCTGGATCATAGGGTAGTTGTACTTTTAACTCTTTGAGGAACCTCCATACTGTTTCTAGAGTAGCTGCACCAATCTGCATTCCTTGTTAATATTTTTTGAAGGATTTTTACGTTTATCTTTATGAGAGAGATTGGTCTGTAGTTTTGGCTTATACTGTTTCTCCTAATAGTATCTTATTTCTGAGAGAGAGAGAGACGGTGTGAGCAGGGGAGGGTCAGAGAGAGGGAGCCTCAGAATCTGAAATGGGCTTCAGGCTCTGAGCTAGCTGAAAGCATAGAGCACGACCTGGGGCCCGAACCCATGAACCCATGGTCTCATGTCATGAGATCATGACAGCCGAAGTAGGACACTTAACCCACTGAGCCACTCAGGCGCCCCAGTCTCCTAATAGTATCTTACTCTAGAATCCAAGTAATCCTGGCTTCATAGAATAAGTTGAGGAGTGTTTCTCTGTCAATTTTTAGGAAGAGTTTGTGTGAATTGGTATTGTTTCTTCCTTAAATACCTAGTGTAATTCATCATTAAAAACATCTAAGCCTGGAGGATTTTGTGTGTGTGTGTGTGTGTGTGTGTGTGTGTGTGTAAGGATTTTTAAACTGCAGATTCAGTTTCTTTAACATTTATAAAGCTATTCAGGTTACTTATTTTTCTTTAATGAGCTTAATAATTGTGTCTTTCATAGAATTTAAGTTGCTAAGTTTATTGGCATAAAATTGTTAAAAACAATCCTTTTTTATCTTTTTAATACTTTAAGAATCTGGAGTGATGTCACTTCTCTCATTTCCTGATACTGGTAATTTATGTCCTTTTTTTTTCCCCCAAGATTAGTCTAGTTATAGGTTTACCAGTTTTGTTGACCTCTGCATTGAACCAGCTCTTGGTTTTATTGAGTTTATTTTCTATTTCGTTGATGTTTGCTTTTATTTTTATTACTTTTTTCTGTTAACTTCAAATTTTATTTGCTCTTCTTTTTCTAGTTTCTTAAGATTGAAGCTAAAGCGAACTTATTTGAGACCTTATGTCTTTTTTAGAATAGGTATTTGATGCTAGAAATTTCCTCTTAGTACTGTTTTAGTGTTACCTTCCAAGATGGGTGTTTTCATTTTTATTTAGTTTAAAATACCTTTTAATTCCCCTTTTGATTTAATCTTTTACCCTTTATTTAGAAATGTATTATTTAGTTTCCAAATGTTTGGAGATTTTCCACAGATTTTTCTGTTATTTGTTTCTAACTTAATTCCATTGTGGTCAGAGAACATATTTTGCATCACTTGAATCCTTTGAATTTATTGAGACTTGTTTATGGTCCAGAATATTTTATTTCTTGGTGAATGTTTTGTGAGGAATTAAGAACAAATGGACTTGTCAGTTGTTATGTCACTTATTCATAGGAGGGGGCATTGCATTTCTGATGTAAATTGTGGATTTTCTACTTCTCTTTGCAGTTCTGTTGGTTTTTGCTTCATGTATTTTGAAGCTGTGTTATTAGTTGAATAAATGTTTAAGATTGTTATGTCTTCTTTTTTTTTTTTAATTTTTTTTTTTTAATGTTTTATTTATTTCTAGGAGAGAGAGAGAGAGACAGCATGAGCAGGGGAGGGTCAGAGAGAGAGGGANTCTAGGAGAGAGAGAGAGAGACAGCATGAGCAGGGGAGGGTCAGAGAGAGAGGGAGTCACAGATTGAAACAGGCTCCAGGCTCTGAGCCGGCAGTCAGCACAGAGCCCGATGCGGGGCTCGAACCCACGAACCGCAAGATCATGACCTAAGTGAAAGTCGGACACTTAACCGACTAAGCCACCCAGGCGCCCCTGTTATGTCTTCTTGATTAATTTGCCCCCGTATCATTATGAAATGAACTTTGTTATCATTGGTATTAATCTTTACTCTGAAATTTACTTTGTCTGAAATTATTATGGCCATTCTGACTTTTCTTTGATTTTGTTAGCATGGCACATTTTTTTCTATCCCATTGTTTTAAAATTATATCATCCTTGCAGAGCCCATGCTGATCTTCTCTGTAATTGTTCCAGCTTCAGTATATGTGCCCCTGAAGTGAGGACTAAACTATGTTTCTTTATATTTGAAGTGAAATACTTGTAGGTAGCATGGGGTTGGATTTTGTTTTTGACAGCCTCTACCTTTCAAATGGGGGCATTAGCATCATTTTGTTTTGATTTTCGCAGCAATCCTATGTGCCATAAGGAAACAGAAAGAATAAATCACTTTCCTTCCTAACTTTGTACATAGTAAATGGCAAAGATACCACTTAGACTCATAAACAGTGCATTCCATGATTCCTACTGGAAATTATTGGGGTTCTTTTTATTTTCTCCAGTTTTATTGAGATATACTTGACATACAACATTGTATTAGTTTTAGATGTATAATAATCTGGTGGGATTTTGTAGAGAAGTTTCAGAAAAGCAGAGGATTGACTTGGATACATTGGTATTTTATAGAATGTTCATGTTGATAGTGGTAAGAGGGATAGTTTGAATGGGAAAGTCTTATGTTAAGGGAATGATGTTAGGATGCTCTCATAGTAGTTGAGGAGAAAGAGTTTGATATTCTTTGCTAAGACATTGCCAAAGAGTATAAACAGAGGAGGCCACATCTGAAAAATATTTTTGAAGTTGAATTAGTAGCTTGATAGTTTGATGCAGGAGAGAATCATGAGAGAAATGGAGGAGATAGGAAGACCATTCAAAGGTGTCTTGCTTGTGAGCCTAGGAAAATAGTGACATCTAGAAGATTAGGAGGCAGGAAAGATTAAATCATACAGACCAATCATAGAGGGAAACCAGACAAATCCAAATTATGACATATTCTTTTGTTGTGGTTTTTTCCTACCATGACATTGACATTTTTGAAGAGTTGTCTTATGTATTACATTGTCTTATAGAACATACCATTATCTAGGTTTGTCTGACTTTCCCCCTGTGATTAGATTTTGGTTAAACATTGTTGGCCAGAAATACTAAATATTTCTCATTGGGTTGTATCAGGAGGTACATGATGTCAATTTGTATGATTATTGATGATGCTAACTTTAATCAGTTGGTTAGGATACTTTCTACTTGACCTCCTTCCTACAAATACACATTTATTTCTTAGTGATTATAATATACATTTATTTCTTACTACTTTGTATTCCCATAAATGAGTAAGTTATCTGTGGAATAAAACAGCAGAGTGTGTATATATTCTGTAATTTAATCCTCAGTTTTAAATGTGAATAGGTTTTGAGCTTGTATGGAAATAATGGTGTGAATGGAATGTTCTGATGGCAAGGGAAAGGGTAGGTATGAAATGAAGATGGACAGATAGAACTTTTGTGCCATGACAGAATAGGAAAAATTAAAGGTTTTTAACCTGAAGTTGGGGTGATACACTTGGATTTGAGTTTGTTTTGTTTTGTTTTAGAGAGAGATTTGAGAAACATTTATGACATTAAAATTAACAGAATTTGGTGACTGGTTGAATGTTGGCTGTAGAGGATTGAGAGTTTCCTGATGACATAATATTCAATAGGGTTGCTGACTTTTGCCTAGATTGTATTAAGTATAAAATTTAAGGAATTAGATTTTGTAAGTGTTATAGAGACAGGGCCTTGTGGATTCTCTTACGGTTTCTCTTATTCTTTGTACTTATTCTGCTTTTTTTGAAGACTGTTTGAATGATATTAATAATATGATTCTATTTAGGGTAATGATTTCTTCTTGATTTATTCTACCCGAAATGCACATTTAAAACTGCCACTAAGCCTTCTAATAGGATAGAACAGAGTCTGGTATAATCTCTTAAAATTATTTCACTAGGTAGAATAAGATTTTTGTTGCAAATAATCTGTAAGGTCACCTCTAGCTCTAAAATTTTGATTCTGTGGTAAATCTGTTTTTCTCTCAGACAGCATATTTTATTTCCTGAAAAAGTTTAACATTTTCTTTGTCTCTTTATGTTTTTCGAAGATGTTCTCAGTGCAACTGAGTCTTGGCGAGCAGACATGGGAATCCGAGGGGAGCAGTATAAAGAAGGCCCAACAAGCTGTTGCTAATAAAGCTTTGACTGAATCTACACTTCCCAAACCAGTTCAGAAACCACCCAAAAGTAATGTTAATAATAACCCAGGTATGGCCCTAACTTGTCTCCTTCTGTTGTGTTGTTGTGTTTTATATGTGTTATTCTCTGTGCTTTTCTTCATAGCAGGTTGTATAGTCAACAGGTATTAATAGCTCACCTGAAAAAGACAACTGAATAATAATTACAGGTGAGAGAATGAGTAAGGTGATTGTAATTATATTAAGAATTTGCTTTGTGGATACTCCAAAGATGCATTATTTACCTTTTAAATGTTGACAAAAAGACATTTGGCTACAAAGACCAGAAAGTATGACTGAGGTTTTTTTTTTTTTTAAGTTTTTAATTTTAATTCCAGTTAGTTAGCATATGGTATTATATTAGTTTCAGGTATACAGTATAGTGACTCAATAATTCTATACATTACTGTCTATATAGTAGATATTATATCTGCACAATATATCTATATTATATCTATGCAATAGATGCTGCTTTAAGTATTTTTGTGATAGACTTAAAAAAAAAAAAAAGACATTTTCCTGCCAAAAATGACTCTGTAATGTATTTAACTGGAGTTCTTGCGCTTATGCTTATAATTGCCTGATGTTTATTTCTTTCTCATGCAGCATGTGCTAAGTAGACACAGACGATTCTTTCAAGAACTGTTCTTTTTAAAGCTCCATTAATTTCCCATTACTAGTCCTTTTGCTTCTGTTCAGCTCATTTTAGTATTTATTAAGTAAGTTTAAATCAAAATGTTACTACAATAAAGAAACATACCTATATTGAAATCAGTAAGAGACTCTTTTTATAATTTTTAAAAAGTCTCTTCAGATTACTGATTGATCATTCATACCATACCACTGCCTCTATGTTTTATGCAGTTGTTTATATATATATATGTATATATTATATATATATATAAAATATATATATAAAATATATATATTTTTTAGAAATATAGAAATATAAATATATATAGAAATATAAATATAAAAAATATTTTCTATCTCATATATATATATATGATATATATGAGATAGAAAATATTTTTCTTTTCTGTGAAGATTTTATAGCTGTATACATAAAGCATATATGTCAGTGGTAAAGATCAAGTGCCAAGTGAATAATAACAGCCATCAGTATTGTAAGTAATGATAAACTTGGGTGAGAGTAGTTGAAGGAAGATAAGATCTTTGAATGGAGAGTAGACAGCTTTAAACAGTAGCAGTATTGTAGCCAGTGAGGTTTATCTGAGGCACGATTATTGCTAATTGAATGGAGAATAGACAGGTATAGAGGTAAGGAAAGAATATTCTAGGTGGAGGGAGTACTATGAGGAAAGGCATTGGAAACAGAACTCTGGACAATGGGTTTGGTAAAAAATAAAATATTGGGGGACGGGGATTGGTTTTTAATTAGATCAGGCAAGTAACTAGGAAGAGATAAGACCAGAGATACATTAGGGTTGAACTGTGATGGACTTGAATGCCAGATTTTGGAGAGTAAATTTTATTTATGGTTTAGAAGATTAATGTTTACAAGCTAGTGGATGATGTGTTTAAAATGCCATTTTAGGAAGTTCAGTTTTGTATGTGGATTGAAGGTGGGAAATGCTGAAAGTAAGATCAGTTAGGAAAGCACAGGTTATGGGTGAGGAAAGAAGAACAGAAGCTTCTGTGCACTGAGTGCTCTGCACCCATGGCTCCGCAGTGGTGCTGGGAGTGGCAGCAGGGATGGAACAGAAGGATACGTACTGCAGATCCAGTGGGTGAAGCCGTGTTAGAGAACGGGCTCTTCAGAGCTCAGAGTGTGAAGCAAGAGCAGCGTGTGCCCGTCTCTGCGTCAGGTCCACTCTCGAGGATTAGAAGGGGAGGTGAACCAGCAAGGAGTCAGAAGAAGGAAACAGGAGAGTCCAGAAGATCAGTGGAGATGAGTTTCCACTGTGTGAGTGTTGCAGTGAGTTGATAGAGTGAGTAGCTTTTGAAGGTAAAGTTTTAAAATAGAGCATAATGTTGTATACCAGCAAGTGCACAAATTACAGTTGTAGAGCCTTCATGGCTTTTTGCACTGTGAATACTTTACCAGGACCACGGGCTTTACCTGTGCCCCAGAAGCCTCCCTCATGGCCCCTTCTGGTGGTTAAACTCCAGGGGAAGCCACTCTTCTGCTTGTCTGTATTGGATTCGTTGTGCCTGCTTGTTGGAATATACACTATACTTAAAAAAAACTTTTTTTAATGTTTTATTTATTTTCTGAGAGAGAGAGAGAGACAGTGTGAGAGACGGCGTGAGTAGGGGAGGGCCAGAGAGAGAGAGAAACAGAGAATCTGAAGACAGGCTCCAGACTCTGAGCTAGTGTCAGCACAGAGCCCGACGTGGGGCTCGAAGCCATGAACTATGAGATCATGACCCGAGCCGAAGTCAGACGCTTAACTGACTGAGCCACCCAAGCACCCCACACTATACTTTTTTGTGATAGCTTATTTTTCTCAATGTTACATCTGTGAGATTCATCCATGTTGTATTTAACAGTATAGTATTTCATTGCTATATGGTATTCCATTGTATGAGTATACCCTAATTTACTTGTTCATTGTATTGTTGATGGACATTTGGATTGTTTCCAGTTTTGGGTTCTTAGAAATGAAACTGTTGTCAACATTCTTTTAAAAATTTTTTTTTAATGTTTTATTTATTTCTGAGAGAGAGAGAGAGAGAGAGACAGCATGAGCAGGGGAGGGTCAGAGAGAGAGAGAGGGAGAAACAGAATCTGAAACAGGCTCCAGGCTCTGCGCTAGCTGTCAGCACAGAGCCCGACGCGGGGCTCGAACTCACAGACTGTGAGATCATGACCTGAGCCGGAGTCAGACGCTTAACCGACTGAGCTACCCAGGCGCCCCTGTTGTCAACATTCTAATGTATACATTTTTGTTGGAGATGGACCTAATATTGGAACTATTGGGACGTGAGTTATACATGTA